TGTACACACACACATGCATATACATGCCATGCACACAGATTTATGTGCTCATATACAATGCTATATATGTGTGTGTACACACACACACACACACACACACATGCATATACATGCCATGCACACACATTTATGTGCTCATATACAATGCTATACATGTGTATGTACACACACACATGCATATACATGCCATGCACACACATTTATGTGCTCATATACAATGCTATACATGTGTGTGTACACACACACACACACACACACACACACACACTTCCAAAGGAGGCCTTTTCATCCTTTTTCCTTTGCCCAGGCTGCAGGCTCAAGCAAAGGATGCCATAGAAGCCCTTGGAAGCAAAGAAATCAAGAACATGAAGTTCAGATCAAGCTGGGTGTTTGTTGCAGCAAAGGGCTTTGAGCTCCCTTCAGAAATCGAGAGAGAAAAAGTGAGTGTCTTTCCCCAGTCTGTCTCAGATGGGGCTATGGTGTATAAAAGTTATGTAGGAAGTCACTCACACAGAGCACTGGTCAGCCTCTTCCACTAGGTCCATGTTCCCACCCTAGACTTCTTTAGTCTCACTACAGACTGCAAATGGGATCCTGGGGTTGGTTCCAGTCACTGGTGGTGACTGTTCTGTTTGGGCAGGAGGCTAGCCTTCTTTAGTTCCTTATCTGGGGATAACATTCACACAGTCAGAGAGAGGGCTGCCTGAGGCCGTTCTATATGAACCACTTCCAATATGGTAGCACCAACTGTGCACTGGACAGAGGCCCTTTGGCTGATTGCCATCCTTGGAGGAGTCACTTGTGACTTGATGCCTCCCTTTATCAAAGAAAAGATCAAAGGAGGGAAGCGAGTGTGACTTATCATCATGTCTCCTGTGAGCATCCCAGCTGATGGGTGGTGTTACATGGCTATGTGAGATCCATGCCTCTGGGGACCATCACCCTAACCCTTTTGACCAATATAAGAGGATCTGAAGAGAAGGAACAGCCAAGGCCCACAGCTCTGATGAGGCCATCTTTGTACTTAGTTAGAATTCCAAGAGGGCAGAGCTTGATCTTTGTCTAGGGTTAAACCAAGATACATTATGATTTCACTTGAGACTTTGTTCCCACTGTCTGGAACCATGGTTTAAAGAAGACAATGGCAACCAGGAGCAGCTGGGCCTCCTCTTATTGGCATGGAAGGAGGCACAGCACCCAGGTCACTGTTACTAGCTCCAGAGATTCTGGATTTGGGATGCTCTCAGATCTGAAATTGAGGAACCTGGAGGTCATGGTCAGGTTGGCATGCTCCAGTCAAAAGTTTTCACCACAGCTCCCAGTTAGCTTGCACATAGAAAGCCAGCCCTGCTATGTGCTGTGGTCACCTTCAAAGGGAGGAAGTTGTGCTTGTTGGCCCCCTTGACCCACAGGGGTTGAGGGGAGATAGGCATGAGTCTAGGGGACAGGGTCTCAGGGCTTGTTTGGTGGGAACACATGTAATTTTGAACAGGCTTCAGTTTTCTTGTCAGTCCGTCCTTTGGTTCTAGCAGCTTTGTGGTGGGGAGGCACCCCACTTCGTTGATTTCTAGAGCATACTCTGAAAGTGAACTCAGGGTTCCCTTTACCCCAAATGACCCATACCACAGATAGACATCTCTGTAGGCTGTGTGGCCTTAGGTAAGCTATTTCCCCTTTCTGTGGGAAAGGGATAAAGTCACATCAAAGCAGGCTTAATGGAGAAGGCTTCAGTCTCCTAATTTCAAAACCTACTCCAAAGTTGCAGTCATTAGAATAGCAAGGCACTCTGAGAATAGGCATAGATGGGTAAGTGGAACTAGGGTTCCAGAGACTTTGAGGGTCCCCTCATACCCAACTAGACAGTTTCCCCTACTGAACAAAGACCATCTCTTCAGGGAGGTGAATAGTTTCTTTAATAAAGTGTACAGGGAAAACCAGATAGCACATAGGGAGAAAATAGATTTGGATCCCTGCCACACACGATATAGAACAGTGCAGAATGGACCAAAAACCTAAATGTGGCAGAGATGAAACTGTCATGCTCTCTCAGCAGGATGGCAAAACAGGCAGAAATCACTGCCATCCTGGGCTAGGCAGGTGCTTCTTGGAAGTGTGCAGAGTAATAGCAAAAGAAAAGATAAAAGTGTTCAGCTTCAAAATCCCAAAGATTTCTGTTCCCAAGGATACACGAAGAAAGAAAGAAGCCAAGCATGGTGGTACATGCCTGCCATCTCAGTGCTCAGGATGTGGAGGTAGGACAATCAGGAATTCAAGGGCATCCTTGGCTACCTTTGAGTTCAAAGCCAGCTTGGGCTATTCAAGATCCTTAAACAACAACAACAAAGTGAGAAGAAAACCACGGAGTAACTGTAGGAGAAACTGTTTGCAAATAACAGACTTGTGTCCAACATAGATAAATAACTCTTAAACTCAATGATTATAAAAGCTAATCCAATTGAAAAATGGTCAAAACCTCTGAACAGATGCTTCTTCAAAGAAGATGTGCACATGAAATGATAGACTTGTGGCTTACTATTATAATAAACTTAGTAGGTTGAATCATCAGAACAAAACCAACTCAGATCACAGTGAGATGGAGCCACAGGCTCACTGTGGGAGTTGTCACTTGTAACAAGTCTAGAAAATTTAGAATTCTCACATGGCTGGGAGAGATGTAAAGTGAGGTAGAGTCCTTGAGGAACATTCTGGCAGTTTCTTCAAAATGAAGGAGACAGTTACTCTTAGCCCAGCAAACTTCCTTGTAAGCATGCCTTCAGTCAGGAACTGGGGCACAGGCTTACACAGCAGTGCTCTTCCAGCAAGAGGGCAGTATTAACATAGAGTAACTGTACAAGGGAACTCTTCAGCCATGTACAGAACTGAAACTGTGATGTTAGCGATTGTATGGGGGAATTTTTGAAAATGTTATGCAGAATGATACAAAGCAAAAGCAGAACTTACATAAGATTGATTCCATTGTTATTCAAAATTTCTAGAAAGAACAAATCTAAATGGTCAGGAAGTAGGTTAGTGGGGCTGGAGAAGGACACTGACGACTGCTGCAGTGTATGCAGTGTTGTCCTCATTCTGTGAGGACAACATCTTATTGATGTAGTGACAGTTGCATGTACTGGGGATATGCTAAAAACGGGCTTGTCCACAGGTGAGTTCCATGATGTGTGAATTATCTCTCAGTGAAGCTGTGGTTCGGAAAAGGCACTAGGTTGGGATTCTCCATTGCCTGTGAAAGAATTGAAAGTATAGAGTCGTGATGTCTACTCCAGTGCAAACATGTTTGCTGAGTGGCAAGTACTAATTTGAAGACCCTCTGAAAACTCCATGTGTGGAGTCCTGTTCCCAAAGGCGAGACCTAGATCATGTGCTCCCTCTGCAGCAATGCTCTCCGTATGTACATTTGAGTGGGTCAAATGAAACAGAATTTGGAAGTGAGTTCATATTGCAGTAGCTGCTTCTCAAAGGCTCTTTGTTTCTCTGCTAAGTCACACTGTAGACTGCAGAAGAGTCCCTATCCTTCAGGAAAGTTCCAGAGCTGCAATTAAATACTATTGAGGGCTAGAGAGATTGCCCAGCTGTTAAGAGCACTGATTGCTCTTCCAGAAGTCCTGAGTTCAATTCCCAGCAACCACATTGTGGCTCACAACCATCTGTAATGGGATCTGATGCCCTCTTCTGGTGTGTCTGAAGAAAGCTACCTTGTACTCATATAAAAAAATAGTCTTAAAAAATAAAATAAAATAAAATAAAATAAAATAAAATAAAATAAATACTACTGAGAGACACATTGAAGCTGGGTATGGTAGTTTAGATCTATAATCTCAGTACTTGTAAGACTGATACAGGAGGATCACTGTGAGTTCCAGGCTAGCCTGGACTACAAAATAAAGTCATCTTCAACCAAAGAAACTGAAGAAGGGATAGGAAGGAAGAAAAGGAAGAGAAAGGGATGAAAGGAAGGAAGCAGGAAGTAAGTAAAGAAGGGATGACAGAAGGAACAGGTGGAAGATGGTAGGGAGGTGTTGAGAAGAATTTTAACCTGGGTTGGAGAAACTGCTGCTCTGAGACTTCTGCTCACATGACTTTGCTCACAGCAGACACAGATCCAGTGACAAGCGTAGTGAATATATGACACGTTTTTCTTTCCCTTACCTAGATCAACCACTCGGATCAATCCAAGAACAGATACTCGGGCTGGCCAGCAGAGATCCAGATCGAGGGATGTATACCCAAATGGCTGAGATAACAGTGCTTGGATGGACCTCAATAAACGTGTTTTGTACAGATACACTCAGCTGGAATGTCACAGGAGTCTGATCCCTTGAAGTCCAGCTGTGAAGGAAAGTGTTGATGTGGATTTGCGGTTTGTTGTGAACCAATAAGACACCGTTAGTTACACTGATTCTTAGCGGCTGTGTTATCTCACTGCCATCTGTACGGTGAAGGAATTTTCAACCTGGGACAACTGCAGAGGGAGACATTTTGGGGGCAGGGGTGGATGGAGGGTGGAAAGGAGTAAACCCGGTTGCTGGCTGCTGAGCATGTGCCACCCATGTCTGCATCAGGCCACTGTGTGGTCCCTGCAGCTCTTCAGGGACTTATCAGTGCTCTTATCCCCCTGTCACTTGGAACACCCTTGTTCCTGCCATTCATCTTCTGGGGAATGAGTGAGGCCTTAGCCATCATGCTTGGCCACTTCACATTTGGCTCTTTAAACTTCCTTGTAGGGTGTGGGTTTATTTGTTATCAGCTCTGCCTCTGTGCAAGGCACAGGTTGGCAGGGAGGAAGGTTAGCGTTGTGGCTTAACCATGATCTGCTCCCAGGAAGACAGCCATATAACTCAGGCTGTCTCCTTTCCAAGATATAGCCAGTCGGATGGTACATATGGCCAAGTTAGGGATGAAATACTAGGACAGATGTCACTAACTAAAATTGTCTCAGAGCTCCTTCTTATGCCAACAGAGGAGCCAGCCCATGCCAATAGGATTGCTTCTCTGGCCCATGGGATCTCAGCCCTAAGGGAGTGGTTTCAAATGCCATCAGAATGACTTCAAAGCCAGGGCAGCCTGAGCTGGGAAATGGTCTAGTGGATAAAATGCTTGCTGCACAGACATGAGAACCTGAGTTGGGTCCTAAACCATCATGTAAAAAGCTGGGCATGGTGACACACACCTGCAAACCCCACACAGGAGGAAGGGACAGGAATATCCCAGGAGATCACAGGCCAGCTAGTCTAGAAGCAAGTTTTAGTCTCAGTAAGAAACCTTATCTCAAAAAAATAAAGTATATGGGGGCTGGGAAGATGGCTGAGTCAGGAAATTGCTTCCTATATAAGCACAACCTGAGTTCATATCCCCAGGACCGTGTACAAGCCAGTTATGGTGGCGTGTACCTGTAATCCCAGTGCTGGTGGGCAGAGACCAATGGCATGATGGTCAGCCAGTCCAACTGAAACAGGGAGCTCAACCCCACCTGTATCTCTTCTGTCCAGCTATTAGCTGTTGGCATCTTTATTCACCAATCGGAATTAACTTGGGGGCAGGGTAGGTCTTGGGGGCCCTCACTTAGCCTTCCAATAGACAGTAAAAGACAAAACCTCAACAGTTCTGTAAGCTGATAGGCTCATGTTTTTTTTCCACCGTGACAGAAAAGCAGGTTCTTATGTAACACATCTTTCCTCAAAGGCAAAATTTGCCTTATCTAGAGAATTCTAGGCAAAAGGTTATTCTCAGCTGCGGACCCCAGCCATTAGCCTCTGATTCTCCTGAGCTCTGAATCAACTCTGGGAAGCAAGGTCAGGCAGAAACTGCTAGAAAGCCCATATGGGTATGGTTACCACAAAGTTGCTGAGTGAATTATGTAACATTCCTGAAAAAAGCCACAGTTTGGGGGACAGAAGAGATTTTAAGGATCACCAAGTGTGGGAGCAGGGAGACAGTGCCAGAGCCCTGGGTTTTTGGTATGTGACGGTGCTCTGAGTAATACTACTATGGTGGACCTTGTCCTGGGGCTTGGAGCAGTGACGGTGTCCACTATAATGATGGTCCTTGTCACTGTATATTTGTTCAAAGCTGAGAGCAGACTGTGATGTAGAAATGTCAATTGTGACCACTAGGTGACAGTGTGCTATTGTAGGTTTACCACTGGGATAAAGGGTTCTCTGCTGAGGACATAGGAGTGGACATCCTATGAGGACATAGGATGAGGAAATAGCTTATACAGTTCTGTACTTTCTGCTACATTTTTCTGAGTCTGAAATAGCTTAAAAATAGTGTTTATAGCTGTGTACTGAAATGCACACCTGTAATTCCAGTACTTGAGAAATAGAGGCAGGAGGACTGCTGTGAGTTCAAGGCTAGCCAAGTGTACACAAGAAAACCATCTCAAAATAAAACAGTGTTTACACAAATACAAAATGCTGCTATGGAAAATAATGATAAACAACTGGAGCTGGGAAGAGCCGGGCAGGTGGGCAGCAGCCCTGCACATCTGGTCACTCAGCACATTGGGACAGAGCGCCAGAGGCTGCTGAGCTCTCCCCTGGGGGTCTACCCAGGACAGGCTTACTCATGACAGCTTTGTTGCTGCAGCCAGAACCTGGGGGTTCATTCTTCTTAGTGTTTGTTGGTGACAAGATTCACTTATCAAACAGAGGCAACGTGGAAGGTGGAAAGAAAGCGTTGTGGCATATCCTCCACATGCTCAGGAGAAGCAGACCAGGAGGAGCCAGCTGGACTACTGTGTCTCTCTATGCTCTTGGGGCAGGGTCCATTTTTATAACATACTGAGCAGGAGACAGACCATACAACTTTAACCTGTGCTTGCTCATCATGTTAAGGTTCTGGCTACAGTGGTCCACACAAGAGGAGGCTTTTAAATGGCCCCTAGTACTGAGGATTCTTTTGTTTGTTTGTTTGTTTGTTTGTTTGTTTTTGGTTTTTCGAGACAGGGTTTCTCTGTGTAGCCCTGGCTGTCCTGGAACTCTCTCTGTAGACCAGACTGGCCTCGAACTCAGAAATCCACCTGCCTCTGCCTCCCAAGTGCTGGGATTAAAGGCGTGCGCCACCACTGCCCGGCAGTACTGAGGATTCTTATCACCTAGAATTTGATTTTCAATTAAATTCTGCTCTGATATGACCCTCTGAGATGGAAACTCCTGGGGGTCCTGGGTCCAGCATGGCTGTGTAAGAGGCCATGTGACACAGGTCCTGTCCTTCCCAACTTCATTTAAAAAAAAACCTACTAGGTCCCATTTAGTGCTACCTCTATGTGCATGGGTGTAGGTCCATCTACTGGAACATGGATAGCCTCTTAGAGTCTGTGAACCCTGAGAAAACTAACCCTCCCTTCTTAGCAACCATCAACTGCTAAATGCTCCTCAGCTAAGGATGGGATGTAATGAGCCCCTTCCTTATTTGTGTTGGATTTTGACTGGCTTGATCTTGTGCACATAGCCACTGCTGTTATGTACTGTGGCTACAATGGCCTTATCATGTCCAGAAAACACTGTCTCTTTGCAATCCTCTAGTACCTCTGTCTCTTGCAGCCTTTCTGTCACCTCTTCCAGGACAATTGCTGAGACTTGTGGAAAGGTGTGATAAGAGATGTCTCATTTAGAACTGAGTGCTCAACATTTTTGAATGATGAGGGAAATACACACACACAGACACACAGACACAGATGCGCGCACACACACACACACACACACACACCTCCATGCAAAACTAAGGCACAGGAACAAGAAGTTTTGTGTTTTGTAACTTTAATTTTTCAAACCTTATTTTTAATGATTGTTCTTAAACAGTTTAACTTCCCTTTTAGTTCACCACCCACTAGAGATAGTTAGAAAGAAAGGATACGGGGAAGTGGACCTGTTTCGAAAGGTTCCTTGGAGCAACTTTCATGGCATTGTCTGGAAATCGGCAATTCAGTTCACAGGTTAGCAGGCAGTGGTAACTCAATGCACCTGAAAACACTTCAGGGATACACCAGCTGTCCAGTTTGATAGAGTCAGGATAGCAAACACAAATCAGAAGCGATGCACTACCTAACAGAGACACCCAGGCCTCAGCCTTGACTGAGTCAGCAGGAGGGACCAGGAGGGACTCCAGGAGAAGTTCTCCACTGTGTCTCTCTCAGGGAAGCAAAGATCAGTGAAGAAGAGAGACCCACAAGCATTCGTTGCGCAACTAGCTCTATAAGCAAGCCTAGTTCTGTCTCTGTCATTCTGTCAAGTCCTATTTATACCCTCCAAACATCCATGCATCCTCCACAGGCCTCGCCTCAGCATGTCCTGCATCAGCACATGCATCCCATCAGCCCAAGTCCACAGAGTCCTGACACATGGAGCTCAGCTACACAATGTAAGGCAGACCAATACTTGCATGTTGTTGGCAAAGAATCCCTCACCACGAGTCCTTTCACGTGCTTGCTTTTAGCAGAACATTCTTCTACAGTGTCTGCTTCAGTGAAACGTTCCTTCATGAGTCTGCCTTAGTCTTTTACCTGTGTCCACTTCAGGAAAACACTCCTTCACATGTTTGCCCCAGCAGAATACCTTCCAACACAATTGACTTTCCAAAGAACCCTTAAGATTCCACTTCAGTGTTTACCATCTGCTGTCGTGCAGATGTCAAGAGGCACTGTGCACATGACACTGGAATTCAAGGAAATGAAGATGGGAGAGAGGTGAGATGTGTCCATGACCCCATTGATGTACGTTGCTGGGATTGTTTGGCAGCCAGTTGTGGATCTGCCCAAGGGACAGATGGCCTTAAAGGTGGCTGCTGCTACGGAGACCCTCACATCGATTTCCCTTTCTGAAGGTTTGTGTTTTCTTCACCTTGGCAGTTCCTGGTTTGCAGGGAACCATGTACCTTTGTAGTCTGCATGGCCCAGGGCAGGTAGAGAGAACTGGAGATTCAGTTCCCAGCCTGGGACATATTCTTAGCTAGTGTCTTGGCTACTTTTCTACTGCTGTGACAACACACCATGACCAAGGCAATGTATAATAGAAAGTGTTTAATTTGGCTTATGGTTTCAGGTCATGATGGCAGAGTAAAGGAACAGTTAAGAGCTCATGGCTTCATCCATACTCATGAGGCAGAGAGTGAGCTAACTAGAAAGCTGAGATGGAGGGATTGCAGTGAGTTTGAGGCCAGCCTGGACTACATTGTAAATTCCAGGTGAGCCTGAGGTACACTGTGAGACCCTGACCCAAGGAGGAGGAGGAGGAGGAGGAATTGAAGGATGGGCATCTTAATTCACCTTCACTGTCCCTCCCTGGTGCGGTTTTCCAGTCTCTTATCTGGTTGGCAGCCACCAGCTTAAGGATCCTTTTTGTCCTGTGTCTAGGGATGGACATGGGGCATGTGTGAGAGAAGACTTGGGAGACTGCTTTGTCCTTCCACCATGTGATGTGGTCTCAGGGGCCAGACTTAGGTTGGCAGGGCTGGTAGCAAGTGCCTTTACTGACCCACAGAATCCTTTCTAAGCACCTGAGGCCTCGTGTTGGAAGGAAAGCAGGACAGGTGGTGGTCCTGGTTGTGCAGGGGACTGATGAGCCACCTGCTTTCAGATGCAATATCCCAGACACAGGCAACAGAATGGTCCACATAAGAGAAGCAGAAAGAAAGGAAGGAAAAACAGGTTAGGAACTCTGAAGACCGAGAGAACTGGCCAAAGTGGGCACCACTCTTTGCCAGATGTAAGCTTAAAGGAACAGTTTCTAAGACATAGATACATCTCTACTGAATCTCAGAATCAAAACTCCAGCCTACCTCCTGGTGATAGCAGTAGCCAGGACTTGGGCACCATCTTTTCTCTGTGGCCTGTGTATCCTGGTCTCTTATCCTAGAGTTGGGGTTTAGGTCAGGTCTCCTTGCAGCATGCTCCCACTGCTGTGGCATCTCAGCAAAGACAAAGACTGAGCTTCCGAGGTCAAGGCTGAGGATACTCTGCAGTTCTTTCAGGCTAGGCATCAGTAAAACAGCTTGCAGGCTTCTGTAGGATGTCATCCAGAGTGCAAGGTCCTCACTCTCTCAACCCTAAGCCCACTGATCCCAGTCCAGCCCAGTTCTTTCCCTTCTATCCAGGGTCTATTTTTCTTGACATCCCTACCAGAGCCTCCTCCTGCACTGCTCTCTGGTCACTCATCTGCCTCTCACTCCAGGCATTGCTACCTTTCTAAGCTACCACCCTCTGATTCTAGATCTATTTCCCTGACTCTTTGGCCGGAGTCCTGCACCGATGTTCTCTTTCTCAGCATAAGGCTGAAGTGAATTTCTAAGAACCAAAGAGAAATGAAACTGAAACCAGAGTCTGAGATGACTGGGAACCGCAAAAGGGGGAGGTGGAGGAGAAGAGGAAGGAGGAGAAGCCCCTTCAAAACAATAGCACAGTACTGGGAGAAGTGTGAGCTCACATCTGCTATCTCTAGTCTCCATGCCTTCTTGAGACACAGAAGCCATGCTTGGTTCCACTCTCAAGAGCCAGCAGCATGGACACAGCACTGGGCACAGACAGCCTTGGGGCAGAGGTCAAGACCCTGTGGGACACATTCTTAGCTAGTATCTTGGCTACTTTTCTACTGCTGTGACAACACACCATGACCAAGGCAACGTATAAAAGAAAGTGTTTAATTTGGCTTATGGTTTCAGGCCATGATGGCAGAGTAAAGGCACCTGTTACCCTCACCAGCCCTGCAGCAGCAGTGTGCTCAGACCTCTAAACCTGGTGTCACAAGGGACCCAGAAGGGCTGGCAGGATCCTGCAGTGATTCCTAGTATGGTTTGTCTCTGACCCTCCCTAGTGCTGGGATGGTCCTGACAGAAAGCAGGCAGCCATCTGAACTGATGTCCATATAGCATGCCTTGGTGGGCTGGGCCTACAGTATCAATTTCCGAACCTCAGGACTGAGGCAAGGCTCCCTGAGGGTGAGTTTCAGTTTCCTTTCTGTGTGTGCTGGGGTTCGGCAACAAGCTCAGGCTTTTTCACTAAGTTTCAATTGTTCTATAGAAAGGGCAGAGCCAGCATTTTTAATGAGGTCTGAGCTCTGGCAGCAGGACACTCTGTCGCCAAGCCAGGAGTGGTGAGTATTGCACAGGATTCTGTGAAGGGATAGAGGATACCTTCTAATGGTTCTTTGTAGACATTGGTGAGCACTGCAGGGCATTTGTTGGTGCTGTTACAATAATGGGGCAGTGACAGTTTGTATGTGGTGTGGTGGTGGTGGGAAGACAGTGACTCAGGCAATCTCTCTCAGTTTCAATTCTCCCTGGGAAGGGGTGGAGCCAGCACTGTTTTTAAAGACACTGGAGCCCAGAAAGCCAAGCACTCTGTCATTGAGCAGGAGACTGGTGAGTATCTAGGGGACAACCTGTAGCTCAGGGCAGGGATGCCTCTGGGTTCCTTGTGGATCCTGGGGGGTCACTATGGGACATTTCTTGGTGTTATTAAAATAAAGGGGTCAGTGACAACACAGGTGGAGCTTCTAGGCTAGACACAGTGCCCTGCCCAACTGCTGATCCTGGGGGCAGTGTGAAGTACTGCTCAAACTGCAATTATTTCTGCTAGGAGGCAGCAGGAGATGGTAGGGGTCCCAGGGCCTCCGGGGTCTGGGGCTAAGGCCTAGATGAGAAGTTCCAGATCCCCTGCTGCCTGGGCTAAGAGTCCATGAGAAATCAGATGGAGATCTCTTGTTAAGGGTTGGAGGAAGCCAGGTGACCCAGGGGCAGGCTTTGAAGTGCAGACAGGAGCCTGCTTTGGGGACCCTGCTAGAAAGGTTGACAGAGGATCTTTATAGAGAAATGCTTCTGTCCAGGTTCTTCCAGGTCCCTAGACAGGACATGCTCTGGGTGGTCTGAAGCCCTACCTCTGCTCAGAGTGCAGGTGTCCCTTAGACCTTTCATTTTCAAAGGCTCAACTGCAGGGGACATGGAGGGCAGGAACCCTGGAGAAGAAAGGGTTCTTGAGTCTCTCTGTGGCCATTTTAACATTCTGATGGGCCTGGGAAGGTTCCCATCCTTAGCATCTTAGAGTTGTTCTGGACAGGCATGGTAGTGGGTGGTTAGAGTTCTGACAGTGAAAGAAACTGGATTCTACCCCCATGCTGTTCCTGTTTCCACTGGGCTGAGGATATATCCCCAACAGGGGAGCCCTACCAGGGGGAGCTTTGTCCAGAATAAATGGTATACGGCATAAGAGGACCATTGGCCAATGCCCACTGTCTACTGTAGAGTGGAAGCATAGTCAACCACCCCACGTACAGTAGGAATGTCCACAGGCCTGCCTGGGTAGGAATGCTTAGAACCCAGCATACTTGTGATGTGCCTGACCCTGACCTACAAATGAGGCAGGAATCTGCATCAAATGTTGTGGGGCTGCCCTGGTCATCTCTGTGCAGTGGGGTCTGCAGAGGGAAAGAATTAGGAGAAGATGCAGAAGTGTAGATATCCTATGTGTTCACCACAAATGGGGTGGTGCTGGAGCCAGGGCCTCTTCCCCTTGACTGGAACAAGATCTAGGTGGACAGATAAGTTCACTTTAGACTGAAAAAGTGTAGCTGGCTTCCCTGGGCACTGAGTGGGTGGAAGTAGGTATGATCCCTGAGATTTCTTTGCCTCTGGGATCCATCAAGTCTCAAAGATGACTCAGCCGAGTTGTACACAGTTGCAGTTTGCAGACAGAACCCAGTGCATACATAGCAGAGAAATGAAAACAAACAAGATGCCAAAGCCAGTGATATCACAGAACAACTGTATATCACAAATCTATGGTTCAGATGCATGTTCAGATTAAAGGTCAACCTCTGGTAAAAGTGCATTTTAATTGCACTTGGCTTTTGCAGTTGGATTCTGGGTTCAGACTCAGACCCTCATGCTCACTTGTATCCTGTGAACTTTTGGTATTGAGATATCTCCTTAACACCTATATTTTTTTCTGTATAAAAACATCAAAATATAACAGGGTGAATCAGAATTATAGCCATGGGATCATGATGTAAAAGACTGGGAAGTCAAAATGGGGCTACTTTCCAGAAGGATAAGTCAAGGCAGGCAATGGAAAATTGAGCTGGAGTCCTTAAATAGTGCTGACATGCATAGCTATGAGGAAGGGCATGCATTATTTGTGTAGACTGGTCATGTGCAACCCTTTGTCATGGGAACACAAGCCCTGGGGACCTGATGGTGTCATAAGACCAACTAAAGCAGCCATGGGACAACAGATGAGGGTCAAGGGAGTCTTCATTCTAGAACCTGAGATCTTCTGGTAATTGGAGGCATTTCAAAAGCAGGGGAGGTAAGAGTTGTGTCTGAAAGAAATTTCTAGGTTGACAGACTCTGTGAATCACTCCTCTTTTGTGATCATTTTCCTAATGTAGAAGGACGGAATGGGGGAATGATGGGTACTGCAGGAAGCACACATCCCTAGGATGAACAGAGAAGGTGGGGCAGTTTCAGATACCGGTGTCTCCCATGTGTTTCTTTGTCAAGTGCCTGACCCCAGAGGCAAGGCTTCCAGATTCTACTGAATCAAACCTGTTATATCCAACTGGAATCCATCTGGAAAAAATTACAAGGTTGAGTTCCTAGAACGACAAAAGGAAAGAGCTGACTTCTGCATCCAGTCACCAGATACCAAGTAAACATCCTGATACCTCTGAGGAGAGCCAGGCAATGGTGAGCTGCTATTGAAAGCCACTTTCCACAGGCCATGAGCTGAAAAGAGGGTGGGGCCTGCAGTTATGAGTACATGTGGAATCATCTGAGAAGAGTGAACCTCAATTGAGAAAATGCCCCATCAGAGACGTCTGTGGGCAAGCTTGTAGTAAACTTTTTTGATTGATGACTGATGTGGGAGAGCCCCACTTTCCGTGGGCAGTGCAACCCTTTGGGCTTATGGTCCAGGGTTCTGTAAGAAAGCAGGTGAACAAGCCATGGAGAACAATCCAGTATGCAGCACTCCTCCATGGTCTCTGCTTCCATTTCTGCCTCCAAGTTCTTGCCTTGAGTTCCTGCTCTGACCTAGTGATGGATTGTGATCTGAGAGTTGTAAGCTTCGATAACCCTCTTGCTCTCCAAGTTGCTTTTGGTTGGTGTTTTATCATTGCAATAGTAAATAACTAAGACAGTTTTATGTCTTTTCCACTAAATCCTGTGATTGATTATGAGTTCATTCTTATGATATAGAAGTGTGAGTTTTTTCTCTTAAGTATATTTTGCCCAACAAAAAAGTCCTTACTTCCCTCACATTGCCTTTGCACCTTGACTACACCAGTTTGATGTGACTTTCAGGGTGGTGTAGTCTGCTCCACTAATGGTCTGTTCTTTTCCCATGAAACACCATAACCTTTTGCTGCAGTTTTTCAACATCTTGGGAGCAGAGGCTGCCATCCTCCCTCTTTGTGGTTCTTTCTGAACCATTTTGCCTATTGGAGCAGACTTTAAGCCATTTATATTTAATAGGATATGCTGTTGTTGGTTGAGAACATAGTGTTGTTGTCTGCTTTCTGTGTTAAGTTCCTGTTTTCCACTTTCCTGATATTCTTCACCTTTTTGATTAAATAATATCTATCTATCTATCTATCTATCTATCTATCTATCTATCTATCTATCATCTATCTATCCTTTGTTTGCTTATTTTTGATACTGTATAGCCTGGTTGTCCTGGATTTTGCTCTTTAGAGCAGGGTGGCCTTAAACCCAGAGAGATCTACCTGCCTCTGCCTCCTGAGTGCTGTGGCTGGGATTAAAGGTATGTGCCACCACTGACAACACCACCCAGCTTAAATACTATATTTTGTGAATGCAGTTCATGCTCTCTGTTGACTGTTTGCTTTTTTTTTTGTATTTATAGTGTACATTTTTAATTTGTTAGGGCATATAGCACCTCCGAGTGACACAATACCACTTAATGTGTAGGAGGTATAATTAATAGGAATATGATTCCATGTGTTGTCAACTTCCATCTGCCACAGTCTTTTTTTTTTTCTATTAACCAACTGCCCCCCTCCCCCATGCGTTGCTGTTGTTTGTGTTTAGGTATTACTTAAGAATGGTGAATTCAGAAGAAACTAAAGTAGTGTGGTGTCCAATGCACTGTTACGGATTCATGATTCTTCTGTCGTTTTTCCTCTGCACACAGAATGCCTATCACAGTTCCTGCAGTGCTGGTGTGCTGGGGCTGAATTTGTTTGGGTTTAGGTATATGGAAACAAAACTGTGTATATTTAGTCATTATATGTGTGATTTCATGAAAGCAGCACAGGAGAGGAAAAATTAAGAGTAGGCAATAGGTTGTCTTGTTTGAATACCAAAATGGCTCTCACATTTTGGCTTTGTTACTCAACTCTCCAACTCTCTGTTCTCTCATCTGTGTTGTTGGGCTTCACAAAAAAAGTGGCCTCTGTTTAAGTGCCCTGTCAGGGGGATGAACTCAGTGGTTATTGCTGGAGCACTTCCTGTGGAGCATGACCTCACTCTTGCTTACCCCTCATCTAGGAGTCTGTGAACAACCTCTGCAGTCAGTATGAGGAGAAGGTACGACCCCACATTGACCTCATCGACTCTCTGCGGGCTCTGGGTGTGGAGCAGGACCTGGCTCTGCCTGCCATTGCTGTCATTGGGGACCAGAGTTCAGGGAAGAGCTCTGTGCTGGAAGCACTGTCTGGAGTGGCCCTCCCCAGAGGCAGTGGTAAGAGCTCAGTACCTGTTGCTCTGCTAGGCTGGGGGCCCTGGGACTTCAGGGGTAGAAACAGGTCCTCTCCTAGTTCTAGGTACATAGCAAGCTGAAGATCAAGGTATAGCTTCTCATGGGGTCTTCCTCTTTGGCTTGTGGACAGACTTTCCTCTGTGCAGTCTTATAATTTCTTCCTCCTCTCACAAGGGTGCCAGTCTCAGTTGCTAGGGCTCCACCCATGCAGCTTCTCAAGCCTGCCATCAGCCTGAGTTACCTCCTTTTAGGCTCTGTATCCAACGGAGTCACTGTAGATGTTGTGGCCAAGCATGTGGGCTAGGGGTGGGAGCAGTTTTCAGTCTCTCACACCAACTCATTGTACATTTGTGGATTATGTGGAATCTCAGTTTGTAGATGTGACTAAGTACCTGGAACCACGTGTGTGATAATCTCTTTTCTCAGCCCCTTTATGAATGACCCATTCCCAAGGCACATAAATGTTGGTGTTCAGGTTAGGGATACTCTTTGAGTTGCAAGGCCCAGGATGTCAGTGACCCCTCAGTGAGGCCTGAGCTGAGCTGCTCTAACAATGCAGGTAAGATGTTACAGGCAGGTAGGAATTGGCAGAAGTTTGTGATAGGGAACTGTAAAACAGCCTGAAAGACATAGTGAGTGTGTATGTAAGGGGTTAGTGGGAGATATATGTGCTTGAGTACGAATGAGTAGTTCCCCGCTGGAATCTGATGCTTCCTGAGAATGGAGTGTCCTACTTTGCTTTCTGCTGCTGTGATGAAGACCATTACCAAAAGCAACTTGGGAAGAAAGGGGTTTATTTGCCTTACTTGTCCTGATCACAGTTTATCATTGAGGGAAGCAGGAGAAGAACTCAAGCAAGGCAGGAACCTGGAGGCAGGGACTAAACCAGAAGCCATGGAGGGGTGCTGTTTACTGGCTTGCTCCTCATGGTTTGGTCGATCTGCTTTCTTATAGCACCGAGGATCACCTGCCCAGGGGTGGCACCACTGACAGTGAGCTGCCCACACCTCCCATGTCAATCATTAGTCAAGAATAGGCCTCATACACTTGCCAATGGCCCAGTCTGATGGAGACATTTATGGACTGAAGTTCCCTCTTCCCAGATGACTCTAGCTTGTTAGTTGACAAAAACCAACCAACCAACCAACCAACCAACCAACCACACCTAATAAACACATGGAGCAGTACATCACGAGGAAGTAGCGAGCCTCCAGCCATTGGTAGATTTCAAACCCAGATGCACAAAAGTTACCTAGTTCCCAATAGGCCTAGGGTCAGCCTACACTTAAGGCATCATGGGTTAGGGTTAGGGTTAGGGTTAGGGTTAGGGTGAGGGTTAGGGTTAGGGGTAGGGTTAGGGATAGGCCTCATAGACTTGTCAATGGCTCAGTCTGATGGAGATATTTATGGATTCAAGTTCCCTCCCTCCAGATGACCTTAGCTTGTGAGTTGACAAGACAAACAAAGAAACAAACAAACACAACTAATAAACACATGGGGCATCTGTTTTCAAATGAGTGTGTGAGATGTGGAGGGTCATCCATCCAAGGCCTTTTATGGCAGAGCCCAAGACTGATGTGGCTGTCGCCTCTTAGGTATTGTTACCAGGTGCCCTCTTGTGCTGAAACTGAAGCAACTGAAGCCGGGAGCAGAATGGAAAGGCAAGGTCATCTATAAGGATACTGAGATTGAAATCTCAGACCCTTCACTGGTGGAAAAGGAAATCAATAAAGGTATGTACATGCACCCATTTGCTCCTTATTCTGGACAGGGTGTCTTCATAGTGTTCACACTCTACTTTCTGGGCCTTTCCACATTGGGAGTCTTCCTGTACTTGAACATTTAACTTCATGACCTCATTTAGGGAACATGCCATGAATGACTGAACCCTGTTACACATGACCACTTGTGTTTTCAGCATACAATCTTTATCATAAGAAAACATCAAAAGCACACTGTTACTGTTGAGCAGAGTAGGGTGACATTAGTTAAGGTCTTGACGTGAGGGTTTCTACCCTAGCTTCTATTACTAAGGGCGAGGAGCAGTCTATGGACAGACAGACTCCTGCAGCCAGGGCTCCTCCTGTCCAGGATAAGCTCATTCCCTTTGAATATCTGCTCATATTTTAGGGATTCCCTGAACTTTCACCTTCTTTATGGATTTCTTTGGGTTTCACTGTCCTCAATGTGCACTCATGACTCTCCCTGACAGTGCCAGTAGGATCCAAGGAAGAATCTTCTTCCCTGTCCAGATCAGCTTTCCTGCCTTTTGGCAGTTGGGAAGCAGAGAGAACTCGGGAAGGGGCAGAAATAATATATAAAATACCTGTGGCCTACACCTAGTAAGCTACTTCTAGTCAGAGCCCGTTTTCTCAAGCTTTGGAACCTTCCAATATAACCTAATCTTATAGAGATTACAACCTTCCAATACAGGAACATTTTAGGGGTAGCATTTCATATCCAAATTACAACATATTTTCCCCAAAGTCTCCGGAATGAGATGTGCTCCTTTAACTGCTGTGGCTTTCTTTTTCATCTCCAGCCCAGGACTTGATTGCTGGGAAAGGATCGAAGATTAGCTCTGAGCTCATTAGCTTGGAGGTCAGCTCTCCACATGTCCCGGACCTGACTCTGATTGACCTGCCTGGTATCGCAAGGGTGGCTGTAGATGACCAGCCTGCAGACATCGAACACAAGGTGAAACTGTAAACACACTGGGCTGCAGGGGTGCTGGGGTATGTCCAGGGCTATGTCTAAGAGAGACCTTGTGGAAGTGGGAGTAAGGCTGGATAGCCAGGGTTTACCACGACCTCTATGTGTGATGGAGACAGGGAGACAGAAGGCTACAGTCTATGAGGCCAGGGCCTGAACCCTGAAGCAAGTGGATGGTCAGGACCATCTCGATCTTGATCCTGTCTCTATTATTAAGAGTCACCATTTAATTTCTTACAGATCAAGCAACTCATCAGGACATACATCCAAAAGCAGGAGACCATCAACCTGGTGGTAGTCCCCAGCAATGTGGACATTGCTACCACAGAGGCCCTGAGCATGGCTCAGGAGGTGGACCCTGAAGGGGATAGGACCATAGGTAAGGAGAGTGGGAGATAACAGTGGTGTGTGAGTTCAAGTGAGATACATCTCCTGGATCCAGATGGACCAAGCTCAGGATCCCACTGAGGCTAGGAAAAGGGACCCCCTCATCTCATCTCCCAGGTAGAAAATGCCTGAGGAGCCAGAGGTGGACAAACACGGGGAAGAAATCATATCTGCTGAGACTCACTGGGCCAGGAGCCATGGTAAAGTCCATGGCAGAGTGAAGAATGAACAGCTGTTGTCTGGGTGGTGGCCATGGAGAGG